ACTGTCTTTCAATAAATGTTAACTTAAAAAAAAGAAAAAGAAAAAAGCAAAACAGTTTTTTTTCCAACAAATTTGAACAGTAAAAGAATAAAAACCTATCAAACAGCCTAAGCTATGCTAGTCTAGTCTAGTCTAGTCCAGTCGAAGTCAAGGATTGTTCCTCCCTTTTCCCTAAAATTTCCCTCCTGTCTTACCTAACAAAAGTATCGACTTTTCCATTTTATTGTGGATTGTGGGAGGAAGGGGGTTCGATTCATGCCAGAATTCACCCAAAGGTTACTTCTTTTTCTCAAATCTGATATGTTAGATTGATAGATTCCCATTTCCCAGTCCTTTCTTTTTGTCCTTTTTGTTTATCGTAATGGGTTTATGGGTATTGACATTGCTGTGAATTGTTTATGGTGGGTTTTGCCGCTTACTTGATTGCTTGCTTTGAATTTGCAAGCTTTTCAGATTCTTAGTCAATTTGGTTTTTGTTATTCTTTTTATGAGTTGCTTTGGATGTAGCTGCTAAATGCTAATACATTTGTTTCTTTGTTTATTCTACATTCAGTTGCCACTTGCCACCCTCCATTTCCATTTGGATAATGGGTGTGGACAACTCATTCTGATTTTCATACTTAAACATGGATTACAAGCTGCAAGTTGTTGGGGTTCAACCTCACCTTCAAGTAATTTCTTCATTCAAACAATATTTCTCTATGCAATTTGTTTACTTTGTTTATTGAGCCATCATACAATTTTTAGTTGCTAATGTCTTTTGCTTTTATTTAGTGTTTGATTACTAATGTAAGAAATGGTCCATGTAGCAGATGGGATCTCTACATGATCAACCCATACATGAGTTTGATGATCACGCCCTCTTTCCCCTGGAAACGGATGGTCAAAAGACACAGTCTCTCAATGTAGTTGAACTTTCTACGACTTTTGCAGTTGGTGGTAGTAAAATCTTGAAGAATGGGTTATACAGGAGCATAAAGACTGTAGTTTTCTCAAACAAACTCAACTTGCTTATGCCCTTTGGGCCTCTGGCAATTCTTGTCCATAAATTCACCGGTCATAATGTGAGTTCTATTTGTATGATATACTCCCCTTCCTTTTATTAGGCATGGTGTGGTTGTTTGATATATGGTAACTAATTTGCTCAGGCTGAGATTGCAGGGTTGGGTCTTCTTTCTATGTTTATTGGGCATAACACCTTTGGCTGAACGTTTGGGTTATGCCACAGAGTATGGACTTGTCTTTTTGCATCATGAGATTCATTTTATTTTGTAGCTAGCTTGTAGCTGACATTGCTTTTACGGTTTTGATTCAGGCAGCTGGCTTTTTACACCGGGCCTACTGGTATGGTCTTAGTAGACCTTAATTTTAATGATTTTCTTATTAGTAAGTGGATTAAAAAACAAATCGCTTGCCATACTGCTTTCACTCTTGTAAGGGGACAATCAGCATTTGCACTTCCCTAAAACATTCATATTTAATTTCTTTGTAATCTGCTTCAACATTGTTCCTATAATGCTTTGAATCCATTAATTTACTCTCTTCAAATTTCAATGGTCTTTGTATGTTGAAAAATATGCAGTTGGAGGTCTGCTAAATGCTACATTTGGAAATGCAACGGAACTGATTATATCAATTTATGCACTGAAAAATGGAATGACACGCGTTGTGCAGCTATCACTGTTAGGCTCAATTTTGTCAAACATGTTGCTGGTTCTCGGATGTGCTTTCCTCTGTGGTGGGCTTGTTTTTCATGGAAAGGAACAAGTTTTTGACAAGGTAGATATCTTGATATATTAGCATCTTCCTGATTCTTTGTTCTCTTCTGTATTCCTTCTTCTCTTCTTCTGAAAGCTGATGTAAGCTGAAATGCAGGCAACAGCTGTTGTGAATGCAGGACTGCTGTTGATGGCAGTCATGGGTTTACTCTTTCCAGCAGTACTTCATTATACGCGCACTGAGGTGCACTTTGGGAAGTCAGAGTTGGCTCTTTCAAGATTTAGCAGTTGTATCATGCTTGTGGCCTATGTCACCTATCTTGTTTTCCAGTTAAAGAGACAAAGAGATATCTATGTTCACATTAATGAGGTTGGTAGTTGTTTTCATTTTAAGTTTCTCAATCTATCTTCTCTCTCTCTCTCTCATTAAATAATGAAGGGGTCTGACAAATGTTATGAACTCAGGAAGTAAGTGAGAATGGGGAGAATGTGGATAATGATGACAACAACGATGAGGCACCTGAGATATCTAAATGGGAATCAGTGATTTGGCTTGCAATTATGACAGCTTGGATATCTATCCTATCAGAATATCTGGTTGATGCCATAGAGGTATAATAATCTGGTCATTCCCTTTCTTATTTTTTCTTGGATTTTAGCTGAAAATAGTTGATGAAACCCAGTGTCACCTTTTTAATTCATGAGCATTATTTTTTTCTTCCTTTCTGCTTCTAGGAATATTTATTATTTCTTCCATTGCATGGTTAGTTGATTTCTGTTTTTTGATGTATCAATTCAACTTGGTTTCATCATGTTGTTTTTCAGGGAGCATCTGATGCATATGATATACCAATTGCCTTTATTAGCGTTATCTTGCTCCCAATTGTTGGGAATGCTGCAGAGCATGCAAGTGCTATCATGTTTGCCATGAAAGACAAGCTTGTGTGTAATTGTCCTAACTCTCAGATATCTTTCTTTCAATAGTGTACTTTAGGACATGATTAAGTCTCTTTGCAGGACATATCTTTGGGAGTGGCAATAGGGTCCTCAACTCAGATATCTATGTTTGGGGTACGTGTTTTAGATTAGTAGCCCCTTTTGCCTCTTATCTCTTTCACGTTCTATATTTCCATTATCGTTTTTTTGTTGAGTTGAGTGATCATTAATATTTCATAGTTACTTTGATTGCATTAGTACCAACTTCAGTATGTCATGTATGCTTAGAATTATTACTAGTGCATCATTGAGCAGCCGTTAAGTGAGCTCAACTATGGCAATGCTTGATGATGGGTAAGTCCTTATCCTTTTGTATATGTTGAAGTTTTTTTTTTTTTTATTATTATTATTATTTTTTTTTTGGTTTTCCGTCCGGTATCCGGGGTTTTGCCCCGACTAATCCGAACCCGACCCGTGTCGCGCACCTGGAAATGGTGGGTGAGTCTCCCAACGGGGGCTACTATGTACACAAGGTCTCAAACTCGAGACCTTGCTTAAACTGGAACAAGTCGCTTATCACTTGATCCAACCCCTCGTTGGTTATATATTGAAGTTTATATAATCGTTATGACTGCAGATTCCTGTTTCTGTGGTCATCGGGTGGATGATGGGACGTGAAATGGACTTGAATTTTCAACTTTTTGAGACAGCAACTCTCTTCATAACAGTCATTGTAGTAGCCTTCTTTCTGCAGGTTTGTATATCTAAGTCCTGGGAACAAATTCCACTGAAAGAAAAAATGAAAAAAATTGTGGGTGTTATTACAACTTACACAGAAATGAGACTATATGTTAATTTCTTTGACCTCATCATTTTTTTTTGTTTTTGCCTGCAGGAAGGTACTTCAAATTACTTCAAAGGTCTAATGCTTATTCTTTGCTACCTGATAGTTGCTGCAAGTTTCTTTGTACATGAAGATCCACCCTCACCTGGTCAGTTATCAATTAAAAACTTTCTGACTACTGCCTTGAAATTTCCATAGTTGTCTGTTATTTTGAGGAAATGAATCTCCTCACCTGAACGGAAAATTTTTGCAGATGACAGTCAACCGGGAACCTAATCACCAGACAGTCAATTGATGGAGTGGAATTTTTGAACTTGAAATAAGGAAAAGAAAAATAAATTAAAAAAAAAAAACACTATGGTGGACGTGATACTGTATATATTTTCGTTCCTAGATTTTTTTCATTTTTGGGGTAATAAAATAATACTTTCATTACTAGACTAGATGATCTAAAATTTTCAAAGCCTGTGTCTGCGTGGACTTGCTTTGTCTGAATTGATGAAAGGTAAAATCCCAATTTGGTACCTGAACTATTATATGGACCCTTAATTTGGTCCCTAAACTATTATATAGATTCTTAATTTAGTTTCTAAACTATTATATATTTTAAAATATGAGATGAATAAACTCTTTATTTAAATTATTTTAAAACTATAATTATTATATTATTTTATTATTAATTCATATAAAATAAAAATAAAAATTAACCACTCACCAGCAGTATCCTTGGTTAGAAATTGACCGCAGCTGAAATAGTTGGTTGCAATTTTCACCTTCCTGTGGTTAAGTTCAGATTCCTGTAGAGAAAAAATGGAATGCAGAAAGAAAGTAGAAATAGGGAGATTTTTTTTTTTTTTTTGACAAGGTAATGGTTAAAAAGTTAATATGAGTTAGTTGTTAGTAACTGGAATTCTCAGAATGGTGAACATTCCACCCCTCAAATGAAGCGTGCGGTCATTAAACCACAAATTAGTGGAGTTCACGGTGATGATAAGGCTTAAAGCCTTAACTTCCGCCTCACCCAAACCTTAAGACTTGCGACGAATCATTGGCCTCAGATTCGGTTCAATAAAGAGACTTGTGAGCTCTGATTCACCCACTGCAGTAGCCCTTTCTACGGAGCTCTGGCACTGCATGTGACCATTAAGAGTTTAATAAAAATCAATATTTATTAGTTATTATTTATTTTTAATTATTTATTATGTTAAGTTTTTTGTTATGTTGCCTTTCATATTCACATCTTGAAA